GGTGGGGAGGTGCGAATGGGGCGGGGGGGGGTGTGGTAAGTCCTTTCTGCATGTACTGTCAGACTGGTGCGAGCTCCCAAAGTTCCAGGGAGCTCTGACGCTGTGTGTGTAGCAGGAAAAACAAATGAGAAAGGAAAAAAAAAAAGAGTCGTCTTTTTTTCGGTGACGATGATAATGTTCTTCGAATGGTTGTAGATTCGTTGCGGTTTACTATTCTGTTTGTGACTGTGTATGACCTTGCTGTTTGTGACCGTTGCTGTTTACTATTCTGCTTTCCACAAACACTTAGAAAGACAGAAGACGCTAAGAGCTAAAACAGTGATACAGAAAGCACCAGCCATACACTAACAAAGAAAACATAGAGTCAGAGACAGAAAGAGCGAAGTGAGATTCTTCATTGGGGTTGCTTCCTGACAGTGTGGGCGCAAGCTGTGCTGGCTGCACCTGCTTGTTCATCTTCTTTCCCAAAGTCCTTCTTCTTCCATTTGAGTTGCGATGAATGGCATTGTCTCACATGTGTGTCTTGCATCATGAAATGAGCAGGACGTGAATAGGTTACTATGGTTCTGACTGATCTTGTATCGTGTGTCGGCATCACGAGTTTGCTCATATAGCACTTTATCATGTCCAGCAGGCATTCATGTTGATTACTTCCCCCCCCCCTGGGGTCTGCATGTTGGATCTTTGTGAATAGTGACCATGCAGGTAGTGTATCTTTGTATGGTCCACATCGAGACCCACTCATTGGGCCCAGCACATCCGCTGCAAGGTCTCCAGTGGGTGTCCCAACCAGTGTGGAGAAAGGTAAAGACGGCGGGACAAGCAGGGGAGGAACAGCATCACAGGCGAAAGGGACGATCTCCCGAGGTAAAGTGACGCCAAAATTTATTGGTCCTCGTAAGGCGCCGTCCTCCGGAGCAGTGCAAGTCTGTGGTCATGGCCCAGGCGCTGGTAGCCAGCTTGATGCAAGACCGAGCGTCTCACATCCAACAGCTCCTGAGGCGCCAACAGACAGCATCGCTTCCATAGCCACGGATCCGAAGGTATGGGCCTGTGATCTAGGCTACCAGCTGGGCCGCCCGGGTTACCTTGTTTTCCCGGGCGGTCCGGCTGTGCAAGGACCAGGAAAGGTCCCGACACACACATACACACACATACACACACATAAAAAATAAAAATAAAATAAAAACTGAAAAAACTATGTTATGCAGAAAAATAAATAAACTGAAAAAAGTTCAGAAAAACTATGTTATGCAGAAAAATAAACTAACAACTCTTGCCTCAGTGTCACATCAAAGATTCAAAATTCTTTGCCAAATTTGAGATAAAAATTAAAATTAAAAAATAATTATTTTATTTTTATTTTTATTTTTGGCTCGGCCGGGCAAGTGGCCCTAGGCCACTCTGGTAGCCTAGCCTGTGATGGATTTTCTCTGCATTATGATTCAGCACTTCAACTGTAGACCCCAGTGTCAGGGTTTGCCTATCCAACAGCTCCTGAGGCGGCAACAGAGAGCATCACATCAGAGCCTTGCTTTCCATACTTGGGCTGTTTGCCTGCGATGAATCCAATGCCAATTCATCGAATGCCAATTCCTAACAAGGGGTACGAGGACAGGACAACAAAGCAGACGGACCTGAATACAAAACCAAAGAAGAATATAGCAAATGATTTGAATTTTGAAATGATCGCCAGCAAGTGCAGAGCAGAGTGGAGGTGGTGAGATGTTAAGCGAAGTTGGCAGTGAAGGAGCGTGAAGGGAAGGAAGGGAACACAAAACGAGAAAGCACACAAATAGAAAGAAAAGAAAACAAGGGTTTGCCCACCCTCGTCGGATTTAGTGCACAAATGAGCATCTTGCACAGTGCTTAGCTTAGCAAAAGCATAGTGTGTGTAGTGAAATGCGCCGTGTTTGAGTTCTGTGGGGGACCACTTTGGTGCTGTTTGAAACAGGGCTGAAAACTCGATTGAGGTTCCGAAATCCAGACTCCCAGCTGGCTAGGTACAGCACAGTTTGTCAGGAATTGACAGAAGAGTTTACCCAACTTTACCGTCTTTAGGGATCGCAGATAGTGTGACATTTTGTGGTTGAGACAATGAGATCATATCATGTATGCTACAGCCAAAGAAGATCCTGCAGTTCAACTTACTGAAAAGGAGTTGAGGGTGCACTTGGTTTATTTTTGGTATGAGTAAAAGACATTGGTATTACTCGAAGACATGCGTGAATGTGGAAGTGGACTGTGAATGTGCGAAAGGCAAAGAAGACCCTGAAGACATGCGTGAATGTGGAAACAGAGTAGTGAAAAGGAATTGAGGGTATGCTTACTTTATCGGCATCAGTTCATGTGATTGCATCTGGATTCGAACTTCGGTCTGTTTTCTTTCTTTTTTTTTCTTTTTTTTTAGAGGAAACTTAAGGCTTGGGTGACCTGCTTAGTGAGTTGGTAAGAGCATCCTCGCTAAGAAGGGCTCTGTGTGTGAAGGCTCCATCTATTGGTGGGGAGCTACACCTGCTGGGAACCGGGCCCAGCGTCCCATTATTATTACATTATGTCCGCCTTTTCGTAGATCTACCAGTTCGGATGCGCTGGATATATCATGTCCTTATGACTTGTGGTTTGTATTGATCAGCAATGGTCCTGCCCTACCTGCCCTACCCACCTCCATTGTGAGGGATCTGGTACACCGACCCCTGTAGCCCCGCAATCCGTCATCCTGTTATGTCCCATGGTAAGTTGTGTTGACTGTTATTTTGTATCAGCTGCCTTAAACCCTAAACCCTACTCTATAAACCTTTGGAATATTAAGTCTTTTGTGACACCCTATGCTCCAACTCTGTTGTGACACCATGTGCTCCAGCTCTGTTGCAGCGGAGCATTGTCAACCTCTCACCCCTATATCAAGTTATGTTGTCCTTCCTTTCATATCAGTATGACAGTACCCTTAAATCCCACCCTACAGTCATCCGGTTCATCGTATCTTTTGTGGCTCAATCTATATTGTAGTCATTGCTGGTTCCGCTGTGTTGTTGTCCTGTTTCTACCTGCGTTGGCACTATCCCCATCTGCCCACTCCATCTCCCTTGTGCAACAATTGTCTTTAAAGTTTAAACCCACAGATGCTCAAACCCTGACGCCGTTCCATCTGTCACCCCCATCTCCAAGTTCTGTTGTCAGCAGTTACTCAGTGATCATTATGGAGAGGCCTCAGGAACCCAATGACACCAGTGCGTTACCCAGACAGGTATGGTTTGGTACCGCGATATGTCTTCCGTATGTCTTCAGGACGAGCCTTTTGGCCGTCTTATGTCTCAGTCTCTCATTTCCCATATTGTGTTTGGACTGCGCACTCCATGCCACGTGATTTATCCCTGCTGCCTTTCCTCCTGATCCCTAGCTGAGGCCTCAGGAACCCAATGTCACCAGTGCGTTGCCCACACAGGAATGTCTTGGCACCGTGATATGTCTTCCGTATGTCTTCAGTACGAGCCTTTTGGCCCTCTGATGTCTCGGTCTCTCATTCTCCATATCGTGTTCGGACTGCGCACTCCATGCCGCATGACTTATCCCTGCTGCTGTTCCTCCTGATCCCTAGCTGAGGTTCTCAGTTTCTTCGGGAGGGAGTCCACGCTTGGCCTGTATTTCAACAGCTCATAAGAGCTACCAACTGAGGTAGGCCCGTTGGTTTTTATCGCCATTAGCTTCTTCCCCCGAATAGAACATACGGTCATCATAGCCGTATTTGGAGTCTCTTCCACTCTAAGTACAGCTTGAATGTCCATACGTTGTATTCGGGGGACGAAGGCAGTCAAAGGCATGCGTGAAGGTGGAAACGAACTGTGAATGGCAAGGAGTCTTTACCACTGGGTCAATTAACCGATGCCGTGCACATCGTGCATCCAGCGCGTGGTCATCCTGCTTTGCATTTCACATTTGCCCATTTTCTTTTCTTTTGTTCCATTTCTTCCTGTACCTGTCTTGTTGTGTTTCGGAACTTTCGGTCTTTCAGAGGCCTCCCTGGCTTGTCAGATGCTCAAGCTTATATACTCTAATTCCGCTGACCCAGATCTTAGCATGGGACGCTTACCTGTACAGTCAATCCCTGGTGTCCCGGGCAATCAATGCTGGCAGGAGTATACTGTTCTGAAAACCATTATAATGTTCAGGGACGCTGGACCCGATTTCCAGCAGGTGCCGCTCCCCACCAATAGATGGA